AAAAAAAAAAAAAAAAGAATTCCTGCTCAAAAAGAGGGGAATGGATGGGCAGCACCTGTGGCTCAAAGGAGTAGGGCACCAGTCCCATATACAGGAGGTGGTGGGTTCAAACCCAGTCCCAGCCAAAAACTGCAAAAGAAAAAAAAAGAGGGGAATAGAGACATACAATAGTCACTGGTCCATAGCAATCAAATTATGGTCTAGGCACAGTGGCTCATGCCTATAATCCCAACACTTTAGGAGACTGAGGCAAGGAGACTGCTTGAGGGCAGAGTTCAAAATAGCCTGGGCAATATGGCGAGACCCTGTCTCTTAAAAAAAAAATTAGCTAGACATGGTGACATGTGCCTATAGTGCTAGTTACTCAGGAGGCTAAGGCAGGAAAATTGCTTGAGCCTAGGAGTTTAAGGCTTCAGTGAGCTATGATCTTGCCACTGCATTTCAGCCTAAGTGACAAACTGACACCTGTCTCAGTAAAAAAGAAAGGAAGCAGAAAAGGACTTCATGATATACTTCTTGACCTTTGCTCACTTTGCCTATAAATTAGTAAAGCCAGGCTATAGGAGAAATCGGTTCTTCATTGATATCATTTCAAAAGTACAATTTCAGGCAGGTAGTGGTGGCTCATACCTGTAATCCTGGAACTCTGGTAAGCTGAGGCAGTGGGTTGCTTAGCTCAGGAGTTTGAGACCAGCCAGAGAAAGAGTGAGACTCTGTCTTTACTAAAACAGGAAAATTAAGGCCAGATGTGGTAGTTCATGGCTACAATCCTAGCACTCTGGGAGGCTAGGTGGATGGATTGCCTGAGCTCAAGAGTTCAAGATGAGCCTGAGCAAGAGTGAGGCCCCTAGGCGTTGTGGCAGACTGGTGTAGTCCCAACTACTTAGGAGGCTGAGGCAGGGTAGCTTGAACCCAAGAGTTTGAGGTTGCTGTGAGCTATGACGCCACAGCAGTCTACCAAGAGTGACAAAGTGAGACTGTCTCAAAAAAATAAAAAAATTAAAATAGGCTCAGTGCCTGTAGCTCAGCAGCTAGGGCACCAGCCACACATACTAGAGCTGGTGGGTTTGAATCCACCCTGGGCCTGTCAAACAATAAGGACAACTACAGCTATAAAATAGCCTGATGTTGTAGCAGCCACCTGTAGTCGCAGCTCACCTCCTTGGGAGGCTGAGGCAAGAGAATGGCTTAAGCCCAAGAGTTTGAGGTTGCTGTGAGCTGTGATGCCATAACACTCTACCCAGGGCAACAGCTTGAGACTGTCTTAAAAAAAAAAAAAAAATTAAAACAGAGGCTGGGCATCTGTAGCTCAGTGGTTAGTGTGCCAGTCTCATGCTCCTGGGGCTGGTGGGTTCAAACCCAGGTGGGCCTGCCAAACAAACAAACAGAAAAACCTAGCCTCAGTGCCCATAGCTAAGTAGGTAGGGCGCCAACCACATACACTGAGACTGGTGGATTTGAGCCTGGCGCAGGCCTGCTAAACAATGACAACTGCAATAAAAAAATAGCTGGGCGTGAGTTGTAAGTTGCTGTGAACTATGATGCCACAGCTCTCTACACAGGGTGACATGGTGAGACTCTGTCTCAAAAAACCCCCCAAAAACCTAGCCAGAAGTTGTGGCAGCTGGCACCTATAGTCCCAGCTACTAGGGAGGCTGAGGCAAGAGAATTGCTTGAGCCCAAGAGTTTGAGGTTGCTGTGAGCTATGATACCATGGCACTCTACCGATGATAACAAAATGAGACTCTGTCTCCAAAAAAATAAAAAAATAAAAAAACCCAGAAAAATTAGCCGGGCATCATGGTGGGTACCTATAGTCTCAGCTACTTAGAAGGCTTAGGCAAGAGGATCACTTGAGCCCAGGAGTTTGAGGTTGTTGTGAGCTATAATGTCATGGCACTTTAGCCTGTGCAATAGAGTGAGACTCAGTCTCAAAAAATAAATAAATTAATAATAAAAATAAATAAAAGTACACTTTCCATACAATTTTATTTTTTTTTTATTTTTTGCAGTTTTTAGCCGGGGCTGGGTTTGAACCCACCACCTCCGGTATATGGGGCCGGCGCCCTACTCTTTTGAGCCACAGGCACCACCCCACTTTCCATACAATTTTCTAGTTTATATATATGCCTACTACATTACAGGAAAGTAATCAAGTAGAACTTAATCTTCTAAAAGCTCCAGTAGTCAGGATCACTTTGGTATCATCATTTATTCAATTGCTGGACCATATCTAATTTTCTTCAGGTCACAATTTCAGTTAGTTTTTAATTTTTAAAAGCCAATCAGTTTATTCAATTTCCACCACTTGCATTCTATTCCCTTGTTAGACTCTAAATTAACATCACTTCAGTTTTGCTTTAGTACCTAATTAAACATTCATAGTTTAACTGAAAAATAAAAGCATACAAAATGCAATTCTGAAGCTCTCCTGATCCCTCCCTTTCCAGTCCCTGCGGTCCAGGGTCTAAATCAATGAGTCTCAACTAGGGGCTATTTTTCCTCCCACTTGTCCATTTTTAGTTGTCACAACTGGGGTTCTACCAGCATCCAACAGGTAGAGGCCAGAAATAGTGCTGATAATCATTCTACAGTACAGACGAACCACCCTCCCCCCGCCACAAACAATTACCTGGGTTGCACTTTGTGGCTCATACCTGTAATCCCAGTGTTTTGGGAGGCCAAGGTGGGAGGATCACTTGAGGCCAGAAGTTGATGACCAGCCTGGACAACACAGAAAGACCCTATTTCTAAAAAAGGAAAAAAAAAACAAAAAACCTAGGCATAGTAGCTTTTCATAAGGCTATTCTTAGCTACACATGAGGCTGAGGCAGAAAGACCACTTGAGTCCAGGAGTTTAAGGCAACAGTGAGCTGTGATTACACCATTGTACTCTAGCCTAGGCAACAAAGCAAAACTCTATCTCTAAAAGAAATAAAGAAGGAAAAAAAGAAAAAAGTGAATATTTCTTCCTGCCTGGTAATTTTAAAACTGACTGCTGAATCACCTATGCAACCAAATCTGAGGCTCAACTATATTAGCTATGTAGGTCCCTACTGCCTGAACATTTGTGTATTTCCCCATCTCCAACCAAGCTGGTCTTAATTCGTATTTTCCTTTTCCCCATTCTGGATTCTCTGGTCTTACTTATATTTTACCATCATTTTATCACATCTGTTCTTGCCACAAGTTGTCTCAATTAGTGTATAAAATGTGGTCAGGTATGAATAAAAAGTGAGGACAAGTAACAAGAAAACAATTACAACAGTGCTGCTAGATGTGTGTCCTACTTCCTCTGACAGCTCCAAGAACCCTAATGAAGGGAGTGAGGGTCACAGGAAACTTCCTGAAGGAGCTCATGACTGAGCTTAATACCAAAAGATTAGAGTACGTATTAATTAATGAAGATACCAGGGTCAGGAAATGTTCTAGACAAGAAATAAAAGCAGATACTACGGCACAGAGGTACAGAGGCTGCTACATTCCAAACAATGCAAGTTGTTTGCTTCTGCCAAAAGAGAGGGTGTTCTGGGAGTGGCAAAACATGACACTGAAGAGGTACTTCAGACACCATGCTAAGGACCCTGGACTCTCGCCAAAACAGCATGATCAGAAATAGAACAATCAGGAATTTGCTGTAATAATCCAAGGAATAAAGAACGATCCTCACAAATGATGACCCTTATCAGTTTCCACACTTTAGGCATCTTTAATTATTAATGCCATCCCTAAAATTCATTAGAAAAGAATCTAATTCCATCCTCACCCCATTCCCATCCCTTACCAACATTCATCTTTATAACATCACTGTTGAAAAATTGGGTCAATGATCAGTAAGCATGAAAGGACTAAGTCAATGGTCTTTGGGCAAAGACCAAAGAATCCTAATTCTATTCTCCTTTGCATCTGATACTATCTGGACTTACAAGCAGCTCTAATAAGAAAAACTAAGGAACTCTGATAGTTATCCATCTTATTCAGGACAAGCAACAAGAATTTGTTATGATTTTATGTCTCCAATTGTCCCAATCACAGTTTCTAATACAGAAATAAAACTGTTCAGTGTCTCCATCCTTGCCTCAGTTTGTTTCACAGAGATCTGTATTTCCGAGTTCTCAGGCTCCACCAGCAATTCTGTTAAGAAGAGACAGCCAGTATCATCCTGAGCACTGAGGTATGCTTTCCATGGTTGCGCCCCAGCCCTACTCATTGCGATGGTTTGGATGTTCACTACTTGAAGAGCCATCTGGAGAGTGTCAGGGTGGACTGTTCCCTGCCATGGCAATACGTGCTGATGAGCAACTTTGAGGCTAAGCCAAGTTTTCTCAAAATACTCAGCAGTAAGCTGGAGATTGGGAATTAGCATGAGGCTTCCAGAATCAGGGAGTTCTTGTATTCTCTCCTTGTTTTCTTCAGGAATCAGGGATCCTGGAAGAGTCAGAAAGCTTGTGTGAGAGATATCCTTAATCGAGAGGAGCTAAATTTTTTAACCTAAATTCCCATAAGTATACAATGTGTACTTCTGCCTTTGGACAAATGGCTTAAATAACCAATGAACCTCTAACTTGCTCACAAAGTCTTCAAATTTTAGCATACTCTACTTTTAGAAATCATTGCAAAGATAAAAATTTACCACGATAAAATATAAAATGTAATGACTATTTTTACCTGATGTGGCAAAAGATGTGGTGTTAGAAAGCTCTGGGCCATGACGCTTTGCCCCCTGGTATTTAGAAATAGTTGCCCAGCGGGCTTTGCCGTAGACTGGCACCAGTGTGTTGAAGTCTGAGGCCCAGCTGTTCACAGGTCTTTCTGCTGGATCCTCCAAAAGTCCAAGAGAAGGATCAGATTTTGGGCTACACAGGATCCGCCTAACTTCGTCAATGCCAACTAACAAGAGGCGATAATAAAAGAGACCTCGGTCCCGGACAGCCATATCCTTCTCTTCCTCTGAGGTAAGACAACAGATTGAGTTAATTAATCCCCTTCCTCCTATCCTCATGCCAACAATAATAGGAGAAAACAAAAATGAAGAGAAAACCCTATATAGTATTAACATTTTCTTGGGCCCCCAATACGACTTATCAAACAATGAAAACTAAGAGAATTTCTACTGTGGGTCATACCAAGTACTGTTTCCTTCTGAGAAACCTACCTATGCAGTAATGTAACAAACGTCCCAGCATGTCCTGGCACTCAGCAGGTCGAGAGAGGAAAAGGCGCAGCAGAGCCGTGAGTAGCTCCATCTTAACAGCTGGAAAAGTCTCTGATTTCACGTTGTCTACAAAGTCCTCTAATACATAAGGAGCATTGGGAATTCTTTCCCCGTGGACCCCAAGTAGCCAAATAAGTGCCTGCTTCCCCTATAGAATAAAAGAATTAGGACAGGTGCGCAATACTTGGCTGTCCAAAACACAGGACAGTGGGTGGTGTCTGTGTCTCAGTGGGTAGGGTGCTGGCCCCATATACCGAGGGTGGTGGGTTCGAACCCAGCCCCAGCCAAACTGCAGCAACAACAACAAAAAAACAGCCGGGCATTGTGGCGAGCACCTGTAATCCCAGCCACTCGGGTGGCTGAGGCAAGAGTATCACCTAAGCCCATGAACTGGAGGTTGCTGTGAGCTGTGATGCCACAGTACTCTACCGAAGGTGACAAAATAAAACTCTATCTCTAAAAAAAAAGGACAGTAAACAACCTAGTTTTGTTTTTCCCTTAGTGATAGTAAAAAAGGCATAATCTTTCATTTACTTCAATTTGCATTTTATTGATTACCCTCTATTACACTCTCTACAACAAATATGAACAAAATGTGTAAGAGGAAACTCAAAATTATCATAACCTTCGTTTTACTGGAAGCTACTCAGAGTCTAAATTTTTTATGAAAGTGGTTAATAAATTAATAACCTAGAGTGCACATCAGAGTTATCTCTGATGGCTTTTTTTTTTTTTGTCTGAGACAGAGTCTCACTATGTCGCCCTTGGTAGAGTACTGTGGTGTCACAGCTCACAGCAACCTCCAACTCGTGGGCGTAAGCAATTCTCTTGCTTCAGCCTCCCAAGTAGCTAAGATACAGGCACCTGCCACAACGCCCAGCTATTTTGTTCTTTTTTGTAGTTGTTATTGCTGTTTGGCAGGCCCGGGCCACGTTCAAACCCGCCAGCCCTGGTGTTTTGTGGCTGGCACCTTAGCCACTGAGCTACAGGCACCAAGCCTGTAATGATTCTTAAAAAATACATCTGTCTAGGCTCACCACTCCTGAATATTTAAGCCAGTAGACCTGGGATGAAGCCCAAATCTGTAAAAATTCCATAAATGATTCTGATTCTCATTCCAGCTAAAAACTCCATGCTCTAAATTTCTTACTCAAAAATATTCAAAAAAACAATGGCACCACAAAGTATTTATAATAAAAACCATAGATAAAGGCTAGGCATGGTGGCTCACACCTGTAATCCTAGCACTCTGGGAGGCTTAGGTGGGTACACTGCCTAAGCTCACAGGTTTGAGATCAGCCTGAGCCACAGCAAGACCTTGTCTCTAAAAATAGCTGGATCTTGTGGCAGGCAGTGGTAGTTGCAGCTATTTGGGAGGCTGAAGCAAGAGAATCGCTTGAGCCCAAGACTTTGAGGTTGTTGTGAGCTATGAGGCCACAAAACTCTACTGAAGGTGACAAAGTGAGACTCTGTCTCCAAAAAAAAAGATAAATCCCATTTTTATTTTTAATTTATTTCCTATAATACTTTTGAGAAAGGATCTCTGTCATCTAGACTGGAGTACAGTTACACGGCTCACTGTAGTAAGTCCAACTCCTGGGCGAGGAGTCCAACTCCTCCTCAAGCGAGGCCTCAGGCTTAGCCCTCTCCTAAGTACCTAGGACTATAAGTGTGTGCCACCATGCCCAGGTAATCTTTAAAATTCTTTTATTTATTTATTTATTTATTTATTTTTGAGACAGAGCCTCAAGCTGTCCCCCTGGGCAGAGTGCCGTGGCATTACAGCTCACAGCAACCTCCAACTCCTGGGCTCAAGCGAGTCACCTGCCTCCGCCTCCCAAGTAGCTGGGAACACAGGCGCCCGCCACAACGCCCGGCCATTTTTGGTTGCAGCCGTCATTGTTTGGCGGGTCCGGGCTGGGGATTCGAACCCACCACCTTAGGTGTACGTGGCTGGTGCCTTAGCCGGTTGAGCTATAGGCGCCGAGCCTAAAATTCTTTTAGAGATAGGGTTTCACCACGTTGGTCAGGCTGGTCTTAAACTCCTATCCTAAAAAAAAAAAATCCTCCTACTTCAGCTTCCCAAACTGCTGGGATTACAGACATGAGCCACCATGTCTGGCCTATTTTATAATTTATTTCCCCTCTAAAGCCAAAGAATCTGTGGTGGCAATCAATTCTAAGAGTTTCCACTTCTAACACAGGATAGAAAGAATAATCAGATTCTGTCTCAGAGAGCAGGGTCCCAAGCATTCCCCTTCTACCTAGAAGTAAAGGAGAATTACAGTCTACCTCACTATCTTGAATGTTCTCCTCACAGCCGGGCAGGGCCTGACACACAGCTTCGGTACACTGAGGACACAACCAAACCAGGTCTCGGAAAGTCTGCACCACCACTACAACACATCCCAGGATATAAGAATACAGGATTAAAGCCTCCCTGTAGGAAGAAATCTTAAGAAGAGTCATATATTCAGACTTGATTTCTGGCTGAATTTCTTTAAAACTGGTTTTGGAGGGGTGGTCAATGATTATCTGGGAAATGCAATCACATGGTAATAATTTCTTGAAGCAATCTCTTATCAGATTGCATGAGGATAATGAGCTAATGGATAGGAAAGCATTTTGTAAAATGTAAAGCTTTGTGCAAACGTGGGGTAGTGTTGCTACTGAATGATACTCTAAATTTAGATAGTGTAAACGGAGCCATCATGACTGGGACTATGGTGAGGCAAGGGAGGTGTATCTAGGGTGCAAAATGTAAGAAGACATACAGAGTTGGTTACTACATGAACCTGAGAATTTTTTGTTTTTTGAGACAGAGTCTCACTCTGTCACCTTGGATAGAGTGCTGTGACATCACAGCTCACAGCAACATCAAACTCTTGGGCTCAAGCAGTCCTCTTGCTTCAGTCTCCCAAGTAGCTGGGACTACAGGAGTGTACCACTAAGCCAGCTAGTTTTTCTATTTTTTTTTAAATCTTTTTTTTTTTTTTTTTGGAGACAGAGTTTCACTTTCTCACCCTTGGTAGAGTGCCATGGCAGCATCACACTGCTCATAGCAACCTCTAGCTCTTGGGCTTAGGTGATTCTCTTGCCTCAGTAGAAGGTGGGCAAGGCTTAGGTGATTCTCTTCCCAAGTAGCTGGGATTATAGGTGCCCACCACAATGCCCAGCTATTTTTTTGCTGCGGTTTGGCTGGGGCCCAGTTTGACCCCACCACCCTCGGTATACAGGGCTGGCACCCTACTCACTGAGCCACAGATGCCGCCCCTAGTTTTTCCATTTTTAGTGTAGACTGGGTTTTGCTCTTGCTCAGGCTGATCTCAAACTCCTGAGCTCAGGCAATCCTCCCACCTCAGCCTCCCAGAGTGCTAGGATTACAGGTGTGAGCCACAGCACCCACCAGTAAAAGCTTTCTTTAATTTTGCATCCTAGGCACCTTGCTTGCTTTACCCTTGTTGTAGCCTGGAAGCCACCACCTACAGTATTTGGTCATAAAAGAAAAAGAGGGATAAAAACGGGGAAATAATAAGCAAAGTCATCCTGGTACCCTTCCTTATCTACCATACAGCCTTGCAGACTCATGGTAGCCTGAAGGCTCAATACTCCGTTAGATGTATACACTGTATGCTTCTCTGACAGCAACAGATGATGATATAAAGAAAAGTTAAAACCTCTGTATTACTCCTTCAACAACAAATATTTTTTAAACAACTACTACAGGCCAGACATTTGTCGAAAAGCTCCTAGAAAGGTAGCCATTACCTGTGGTAATGTGCTCTTGTCGAAGCCCTAGCAACTCTGTTAGAATCTGTACACACTGATCTGTGTAAGTCCTAGCAATGCCACCTGCAGAGAAAGCAAAGAAAAAGATCAAGTCAGATACTAATACTTCATTCTAGAATTATTTCCCACCAAAGACAAAAGGATCAGAGATTACCAAAAAAAAAAAAAAAAAAATCACCTCTTATTTGATGAAATAAAAGAATCTAAGTTTGCTATAAATGGAACTTCAGTAAAAAGCATTCCATTTTTTTTCCATAGACTACTAGAAAATTAAAAGTTCATTAAAAAAAAGAATTTCTCATTGAACAAGTTTGGGAACTTACAGTACAAAGGTTTTTATGTGGCAGCCAGATATATGAAGCACTGTTTCTGTTGAAACATACCCACAAAGGATATTCCTGATGGAAACACTTGCCAGCAGTCTCCTGACTGTAGGGATTTCTATTCTCTCCTTTGTTCCCTTTTCTCTGCCCCTAAAAATAATCATGCTTTATTTTAAATACGAGGGTTCCTCCATCTCCTCTTACACTTCAAAACACTCCAAAACCTAGCTCCTTAGCTTTTAGTTTTGTTATTTTCTCCCAGAGACAGGATATCGCTCTGTTACCCATAGCTCACTGCACTCTCAAAACTCCTGGGTTTTTTGATCTTCCTGCCTCAGGCTCCCGAGTAGCTGAGACTACAGGCATGTGCCACCACACCCAGCTAATATTTTAACTTTTCTCTAGAGATTCGCTCAGGCTGGTCTCAGACTCCTGGCCTCAAGCAGTCTTCCCACTTCAGCCTCCCAAAGTGTTGGGATTTCAGGCATGAACCACAGCACCTGGCCTGCTTTCAGTTTTGAGTTACTCTAGGCTTTTACATCCTAGACAGGATAATATGAAAAGGTCTAGGAGGTTTAAGATTTATTTTGTATTGGTCTATACTCAGCACAACACACAGTCTATAGCAGAAGTTCAGTAATGAACTGACGTAGGACTCAGAACCAAAAAAACTGGATTATAGTCCTAGTTTGGAACTATATGATCTTCTGGCAATTTGATAACCTTTTTTTTTTTTTTTTTTTTTTTTTTTTTTTTTGAGACAGAGCCTCAAGCTGTCCCCCTGGGCAGAGTGCCGTGGCATTACAGCTCACAGCAACCTCCAGCTCCTGGGCTCAAGCGAGTCTCCTGCCTCCGCCTCCCAAGTAGCTGGGACCACAGGCGCCCGCCACAACGCCCGGCTATTTTTTGGTTGCAGCCGTCATTGTTGTTTGGCGGGTCCGGGCTGGGGATTCGAACCCGCCACCTTAGGTGTACGTGGCTGGCGCCTTAGCCGGTTGAGCTATAGGCGTCGAGCCTTGATAACCTTTTTTTGTGCAAGACTTTCTTCACTTTGAGTAACACTTGCTACTTTTCCTGATTGCTTTGCAAGTCTGTGGTAAGATGATGTATAGGACAGCATTTTGGACAGAAGACAACAACAATTTTAAGTTGCCTGTATTCTCTATCCTAGAAGATACACAGCAACACTTGGGGGGAAAAATCTCCCTTGTTTGTAGTCACTGCCCCAATTCTTGAGTGCATGGTAATTTATCTCTGAAGCAAGATTCATGCCCTTTGGCTTTCTATGTTCTTCTGACCATAGCTTTCTAACTGGCTGGTCTAGCTTCTCAAAAGGAAAAACAGCAGACACCTACCTATGGCAAAGATGGCAGCCTGTGAAAAGTCAGCAGACACATCAGTGCAGTACCCACGGAGCTCCTCCAGCACCTGCTGCACGTTCTCATCATTCACCAGCTCACAGAGCACCTCCACCTTCTGCAGTTTGATGTAGTGGGGCTCCGAGTAGGAGCAAAAAAACTTTTTATAGTGGCTGCTAAAATGACCTGGCAAACTATGCAAGATCTGGCGCACGTGGCAAAGGGCAACAAAACAGAGTTCCCGGCTCTCTGAAGAACAGGCAGCTAGCAAAGGGCCCTTGACTCGCACAAGCACATCTGTTTGTACATGTGGAAATTTTTTTGCCAAGATCAGGAAGAGTTTTGTGGCTCCCATCACCACACCTGGGCTACTGCTTTTGAGAAAGCTGTCCAGCAAATTGAGAATGTCAAACAATTCTTCCTCACTGCGGGGTTGGTAGCGTAGCAGAAAGTTCAATACTTCAGCCTGGCCCCATTGGTCCAATTTTGACATACTATACCAAAATGAAACAAAAGCACTATTTTATCAACAAAATTAGCTCCATGCTACTGCCACATAACCAGTCAGCTATTCATCATAACAAATAGGCTATTGCATATTGAATCATTCTTTTTACATACTATTAATATGTAACAGTAACACAAAATAGTCTTTAAATTCTAAGATGAGCTGATGGTATAAATGCACACTCAATTAAGGCCAAAGATGTGATCAGTATAGACAGGGTACTGATTCTCTACATTTTAAGACACTGTAAGTACCTTAATTTGGGAGGACATAGGAACCAATTGGAGATAGGAGGAACCTATCTCTTCAGGATGTTCCTTCTATCTCTCTATATTACCAAGAGAAACTAAGATTGTAAAAAAAAAAAATCCTGACAGTGAAATGTAAGGAAGTTAAAAATTATGGTTATATGGTTATGGCTTAGTGCCCATAGCACAGTGATTACTGCATCAGCCACATACACTGAGGCTGACAGGTTCAAACACAGCTGAACCAGCTAAACAACGACAACTATAACAAAAAATAGCCAGGCGTTGTGGCAGGTGCCTGTAGTCCCAGCTACTTGGGAGGCTGAGGCAAGAGAATTGCTTAAGCCCAAGAGTTGTAGGTTGCTGTGATGCCATAGCACTCTACTGAGGGTGACGTAGTGAGACTCTGTCTCAAAAAAAAAAAAAAAAATTATGGTTAACTTTCCTTTCCACCTTACAAAAGTTGTTCAAGACTTCGTAATTCAACACATCAATAAGATTCCATTATGTTGCAAATCTCATAATAAAAAAAGCAGTAAGGCATCCAAACCGATTTAAGAGATGGTGGGCAATGGGCTTATTGATGACAACACCTCCTTCCTGTTTCAGAATTTCCTCTAGAGACCTCAGGCAGTTCACAACCACAATCGGATCCTGGTCACGCAGCAAACTGTATAACTCATTTACCAGGGCACCATCTGTAAAAAAAGAACAAAGATCTCAGATAAAGAAGAAAAGCTTCAGAGTCACAGGGATAGAGCCAGAGTAATAGTTCCCGACAGACAAAACTGAGCTCCTCTGCCACAAAAACCACAAAGGCAATAACAAAGTACAAGGCAAAAAAATTGTCATCTCCAGACTATTCTAAATGGCTAATGCAAAGGCTCTCACCTGTACCCCAAAGAAAGAACTTCTTTAACCTCAGAAAATACCAAGCTCTATAGCCTACTTAAAGAGACATGTTAAAAATGGGGTCACATTTTTATTTTCTACCACAACTACATAATCTTAAGCGACATTCATAATAGAAGAACAAATATTGGTCATGAGAGGTTACACCGAACTTACCCACTTCAGCGTCTCCATGAAGATTATGCATCTTGGCACAACCAAGGACTGCTACCCTCCTGACATATGAAGCCTTATCCCGTAAGCCATTGAGAATAGGTTGTTGGATATATTCCTGCACACCAGGCATCCTAAGCAACACATCCTAGAGTTAGCCAGATCCTGAAAAGCTTATACCAAACTTAAAAAGCCATAATTTCATAATTTCACTTTTCATTTGGAATAATGCTGCACAGGTAGAAAGAAAGATATATAGATAATAGTTTAGAAATCTTTAACCAAAACTGAGGGCTATCTTACGAGAATGAGTATGGAAAACTCCCTTTAACCACATGATATTACTTATTACGTCAAAGTAATAGCTAAAAATCTGAGTTCAGGGTACAATACTGTTTTCCCAGGGTACAATACTATTAAGAAGCTCAGGGCAGCGCCTGTGGCTCAAAGGAGTAGGATGTTGGCCCCACATACTGGAGGTGGTAGGTTCAAACCCAGCCCCAGCCAAAAACTGCAAAAAAAAAAAAAAAAGGCAACTCAGTGCCAGGCGCAGTGGCTCACACCTATAATCCTAGCACTTTGGGAGGCTAAGGGGAGTAGACTGCCTGAGCTCACAGGCTTGAGACCAGCCTGAGCAAGAGCAAGACCTTCTCTCTAAAAATAGACAGGCGTAGTAGCCTATAGTCCAGCTACTAGGGAAGCTCACTCATGAGGACCTTTTGAGCCCAAGAGTTTGAGGTTGCTGTGAGCTATGATAATGCCATGCCACTGAACCCCAGGACAACAGAGGGAGACTGTCTCAAAAAGAAACCTGCATCATGATCTCCAGAATTCATCAGCCACTGAGGACTAGCCAGGGAAGAGGATGCTTACCTAAGGCTACACATGCTCCGTAGTGCCAGCCCTCGCACCATCGGGTTGGGGTCTGAGCAGTCTTTGCACAGTGTGTTGATGGCAAGAAGAGCCAGATCTGGTTTTAGGGGTGCATAAGTGCACATGTACAGATAAACCAACTTCTTCTGAACGATGTCCACAGTGGCACTGGCCTTCACCATTTCCATGAAAACACCAGACATGTCCAAGCCCTGAGTCATGTGCCTGAAACCAACACACAAGGCAGAAAGAAATAAAATACAAAATCTCCAACTTACAGTGGAAGAGGTTTACTTACATATGTACTGGTTATCCAACAAGATTATGATCTCTTCCAAGTAAGTAATTAGGGCTACCTTGTCTATACATCACAATACTTCACACCATGGGCCTGGAATAAACATTATTCTTCTATCCATTCAATACTTATTGAATCCCTTGTACATTCTAGTGAAATTCCACTTTTCTATCCAAGGACGTGCTCTGGGGACAGAATCTTGAAAAAGGTATGACCTCTGGGAATTAAAAGTCTATTAAGGAGCCAGACAAGAAAATCCCTAATTCCATACAATAGACAAGTATTTAAACAGAAGTAATATGCAAGGTATAGAACACCACTAATTATAGCACAATAGATAAGTACTAAAACAGAAGTTATGCACAAGGTATAAAAGGGATCCAGAGGTTTGACAATGGCAGGAAGTCAGAGAATCACTTCACAGAGGAAGTAATACTGTAGCTGAATGAGCAGGAGCTCACCAGGCAGATGTGACAGAGCACAGCTGAGGCATGTAGATATGAGCAAGAATAACACACTCTTTTAAGAGTATGCAGGTAGTTGGATTAATAGGTTGCTCCTTGGCTGCTATGTTTGGACTTCATTCTGTAGATTATCGTTTCACTAAGGTCTCTTATGGGTATTAGCTGAGATGTTTGTTGAATATATACATTCTCCTGTATTCCATCCCACCCTACTGAAATCAGAATCAATCTTTGGACTGGATAAAAAATCTGCATTTTTATGCCAGGTGCAATGATTCATACTTGTAATCCTACTACTCTGAGAGGCCGAGGCAGGTGGATTGCTTGAGCTCAGGAGTTCAAGACCAGGCTGAGCAAGAGTGATAATCTATCTCTACCAAAAACAGAAAAACTAGCCAGGCGTTTGGGGGGGCACCTGTAGTCCCAGCACTCAGGAGGCTAAGGTAGGAGGATCGCTTGAGACTAAGAGTTCAAGGTTGCCGTGAGCTATCATGCCATGGCACTGTACCCAGAGAGTGTCTCAAAAAACATAAAAGAGAATAATCTGTATTTTACAATAAATCTGTATTCTGTGCACACTAAAGTTCAGATTTGCAAATGGGAAAATTCTGACTGAAATGTGGCAAAGTGGCCTTTAAGTAAGCTTCTGCAATTGCTTTGGTGATAAAGGCCCTTAGCCAGAACAACAATGCCAGTAAAAAGGAGAGGATGGAGGCTTCAACCTTCAGAAGCCAAGGATCAGGTGTCATTAAGGTTGACTTGGCTGGCTAACACTGGCTGACATTCACCAACACAATTATAAGCAGAAGGACAGATTTGGAGAGAAGAGAAGAATGTCGGCGCTATTTTGCACAAACTTTTGATAAATTACCCAGGTAGCAGTGGGATATGTGGGTCTGAGGCCTGCACTTAGATATATCATAGGTCCAGGTGTCAGCAGTAATTGTTCAAGCCCATGACAAGTGGAACCACCCAACTGAGTAAAAGATGTCACACAAGGAAGACTGAGATGGTACTCCAGAGAAGGACGATGAAGACCGAATCATACAACTGCCGTGTATGGACGTTCATTTACTCTTCCAGTGCGGCCAGGGTATTGAGTCCAGATGGGGACTGCTAAGGGGGTGAGGGTGGGGGCATTTATGAAGCTAAAGGTGTTGGGTGATACCTAATTACTCGTTGGATGACATTCCGGTAGCGCAGCCTATCAGCTTGAATGTGAGGATTACACAGAGCCTTCTTCAACTCCTTCACCACGTCCTCAGAGCCAAGGTAAGGCATCTTCTCTAACAGTCACGGGGCAGTTCCCACAAATCCCTGGGTAACTCCCGGGCTCGCAGGCGCGGTGCGGGAGCCTGAATAAAGGAAAAAGACCACGGCGTGCTCTCGCCCCAGGCCCGGAACCCAGGCCCTCCGACACGCTTCAACCCCTCCGCCCCGCGGCGAGCCCCGCCAAAGGCCGTTCAAGCCCCACCCTAGACCTGCAGGCTGTCCGCTCCGCCGACAGCCCACTCGGCGACCTCTAAGCCCTCGGCCCGATTCCAACCCCACCGCCGAGTTCCGTAGACCCCTCCCTCTGCAGTTCCAGCCTTTCCTGCGCCTCCGCGCCGTTGCCGTCACGGATAAGCCCAATCAGGCTCTCTGCGGAAGTCCCGCCCCTTCTCCCGGGGAACAAACAGAGCAGCCGCCACTCTCCTAGCGAGCGCAGAGCGTAGTGCGCGCCCAGACCTTAGGGTGCCCTTCCCCCAGCCTCTCACCTCCTGGCGCAGCCGCACGGCCCCCTCGCGGCGATCGGTAATCGGGTGCTTCGGCCTGTCTCCTCCCAGCAGCGCGCGCTTTGAGCGCCGGGCCTGCGCTCCCGCGCGCGGGTTGGAGTGTCCGGTACCTGTCGAGGTTGCGATTTCTACGGAACCGTCGCTTTCTTCTTTGCTCGCACTAGAAACTTATTTCTCTACTTAGCTGACTTTCCCTTAGGGTTCCTGGCCCTGTTCTTGCCCCAGCATGACTTTTATCGGGGCGCCGTGGTGGAAGCCTCACACAGAAGCCCTGTCCTCTCGAAGTTCCCGGCGGTGACGCTCCAGCCCCTCTGCCATGAACGGGGTCTTGATCCCCCATACGCCCATCGCGGTGGACTTTTGGAGCCTGCGCCGGGCTGGTGCCGCGCGGCTCTTCTTCCTGACCCACATGCACTCGGACCACACTGTGGGCCTCTCCAGCACCTGGGCGCGGCCCCTCTACTGTTCCCCAATCACTGCCCACCTCTTGCGGCGGCACCTCCAGGTATGGGGCCGGGAGCCGGCCTCGAGGGGCTGGGCCGGACCTCTGAGTGGAGACTCCCGCCCCATTACGGCCTTGGAGGCGTTCAACGGGGGCCAGGAGAACGGATTTGTACAACTGAGAGAGGTTGTAGAAACGCATCTTTAGTCCAGAATAAGAGTGTGGCTTCCAGCCTAGCGACTTGAGATATTTTAGCTATATGTTGAGGGGATCTTCTTAGTCCTGCCATGGAAACTGTTCCTACTTTTCGTACAAACTAAATATTTACCAAATTTGCCTCATCTTAATCCAGCTAATGTGCTGGGTACATAATACAGACTCTCCAGCCCCTTCCCCACTCCACCCCATGTGATTCAGTAAATATGGCTAGTGTGGGTTCTGGATATGTGCCCAGAATTTTTAAAACAATTGCCTTCAATGGGTTACGATCTGATCAGGAGAAAGTTTGAGAAAAGCTGATTAGACTACCTTCTGAACTCTTAACAGAGGGGAAGGTGGGGAGGAGGAGAAGGAAGGGCCGTTTGTTTGGGAATTTCCATCACAGCTTCTGTTCCAGGTGGCTAAGGATTTATTTGGTTAGCTTTCCTTGATTCGTGTAACAGTGATAGATCCAGGAAAGGGAGTCTGTGTTCCTTGGGATGACCAGTTGTTTCCTCAGGTATCTAAGCAGTGGATCCGAGCACTGGAGGTTGGTGAGAGTCATGTATTGCCTCTAGATGACATTGGAAGAGAGACCATGACTGTAACCCTCATCGATGCCAATCACTGCCCAGGTTCTGTCATGTTTCTCTTTGAAGGATATTTTGGAACCATCCTCTACACAGGTGGGCCTCTGGAGGGTCCCTCCTACCTTTCCAGCAAGGATGTCACTTTTCTTGTGCATCCTTAACTCAGAAGTCTGAAGCCTTCTAGCTTTATCCCGTATGAGCACAGTGACCCCTTATCATCTAATTTCCCATATTTTTAAGAGTCTAAACCTAATAAAGAGTAATTTTAAAAGGAGAAGAATGGAGACATTTGTGCAAAGAAACTATGCACCTATACTGCGTAGTTCAGTGCCAAGCCACATAACAGTTCTTCCACAGACCCATAAGCAAATGCTAATCTGGTGTGGGAGGTAGGAGAGGTCTTCTGCTCTTTTGTCTCTGACCTTCTCCCGTGTATGTATTTTTCCAGGTGATTTTCGATATACACCATCCATGCTAAATGAGCCAGCTCTGATGTTTAGAAAACAGATTGATACTTTATACTTAGACAACACCAATTGCAACCCAGACATGGTTCTTCCTTCCCGACAAGAAGCTGCCCATCAGATTGTCCAGCTCATTCAAAAGCACCCACAACATAACATAAAGATTGGTGAGTTATTTCCTTTCCTTTTTCTCTCACCCATAGCTAATGAATCAAGGTTTTTTGAGTGTTCTTACATACCTTGACCACCTTGTTTAAAATGTCAACCTGCCCTCCATCCTTTTTCTCAACTCCCGATTCCTTACACCTATTTGATTTTTTATACCACTCATCACCCCTGAATATACTTTATATGTTTTTAAATATATTATTGCTTATTTATTATTTGTTCCCCATTTCCCTTGCCACCCCTCACACACATGAATATAAACTTGAGAGCATAGATGGAAGTGGGAATAATCTTTGTGTGTTAGTGGAACAGAGAGTTGGTGACTCTCTAGTATGACAGTGAGCAAGGAATGGAAAATCATAAGGGGCTGGAATGCTGGCAAGCCATTTGGACTTGATCCTAAATCCAAGGATATTAAGTAGAAGAGGGACAATATGGCACTCATTACAATATTTTCGATAATTTACATATTTATTGTATATATATTTTTTTGAGACAGAGCTTCATTTTGCTGTGGAATCATAGCTCACAGCAACCTCAAACTCTTCGGGTCAAGCAATTCTTTTGCCTCAGCCTCCTGGGTGGCTGGGGCTAAGCACACCCACCACCGTGCCTGGCTATTTTTAGATACGGGGTCTCACTCTTGTTCAGGCTAGACTAGAACTCCTGAGCTGAGGCGATCCACCTGCCTTGGCCTCCCAGAGTGCTAGGATTACAGGCTTGAGGCACCGTGAATGTGCTTTCTATTGTGTGTCTCACCCTACTGGAATGTAAGTTCTATGGTGGGGGGGCTCTTTGTTTTATTATGGGTAATATCCCAGAGGCCTATATTGATACCTAACAGAACTATTCAATTGATATTTGTTATGTGAATGAGTGAAATTTGTTAGAAGATAGATTTTTTTTTTTTTTTTTGAGACAGAGTCTCACTATGTCATCCTTGGGAGAGTGCAGTGACATCACAGCTCACAACAAACCTCAAATTCTTGGGCTTCAGTGATTCTCTTGCCCCAGCCCCCCAAGTAGCTGGGACTACAGGGGCCCTCCATAACGCCCAGCTATTTTTTTGTTGCAGTTGTCATTGTTGTTTAGCTGGTCCAGGCTGGGTGAATGTGGTAGGTGCTCTACTGCCTGAGCTACGGGTGCTGCCCAGAACATAGATGTTTAAATGAGTGGTGTGCTTTAAATTAGGTACATTGAGGGAAGTTCTTCAGTTCTTTTCCCCTTCCAGAAGCTTTGGTGCTTTTTACTTCTTCTGTATTCCTAACTTCTTTTTTTTTTTTGTAGTTTTTGGCCAAGGTCAGGTTTGAACCCGCCACCTCTGGTATATGGGGCCAGTGCCCTACTCCTTTGAGCCACAGGTGCCGCCCTCCTTTCTAACTTCTAATAAAAGTCCTATCTTAACCACTTGGGAGGGGGGGGGAAGTAATAATAATATATTAGGTACTAACCGAAGAAAGAAAAGACAGCCATATGATTGTTCTGGTGATTCCACACAGGTACAGAATTATTTGGGGGGCTCTTCTTTTGAAGTTGCCTTTTGAGGTAGTTTATGAAAAAAAAATTATTATTATTATTTTTTTTTATGGAGACAGAGTCTCACTTTATCACCCTCGATTGAGTGCAATGGTGTCACAGAGCTCAAGTAACCTCCAACTCCTGGGCTTAAGCCATTCTCTTGCCTCAGTCTCCTGAGTAGCTGAACAATTTATTTTAAGAAATGTAAAATTGATCCTGTGGCTCAAGCGGCTAAGGTGCCAACTACATACACCTGAGCTGGCAGGTTCAAATCCAGCCCAGGCCCCCCAGACAACAATGCTGCAACCAAAAAATGGCCGGGCATTGTGGCGGGCGCCTGTAGTCCCAGCTACTAGGGAGGCAGAGGCCGGAGAATCGCTTGAGCCCAGGAGTTGGAGGTTGCTGTGAGTTGTGATGCCACAGCACTCTACCCAGGGGGAGAGCTTGAGGCTCTGTCTCAAAAAAAAAAAAAAAAGAAGAAATAGGTGAGTGGGGTGGTGCTTGCCTGTAATCCCAGCCAATAAGGATGCTGAAGTGGGAAGATCACTTGAGGCCAGGAGTTGGAGCTCAGCTTGGGCAACAAACCAAGACTTTGTCTCTAAAAAATTTTTTTCAAAATTTAACTAGTTGGGGCAGAGGAGGAGGGGAGGGATAAATTCACCCATTGGGTACAGTGCACACTATCTGGGTGAAGGACACACTTAAAATTTTGACTCAGTCTATACAAAAAGTATATAAATAAAATGTGTACCCCCTAATATTTTGAAATTTAAAAAAATTAGCTGGGCATGGTGGTATATGCCTATCATCCCCTCTACTTAGGAGGCTGAGACAGAAGGATTGCTTGAGCCCAGGAGTTTTTGAGGCTACAGTGAGCTATGATCACACCACTGCACTCAAGGCTGGGTAACAGAGAAATACCCCTCTCTTTAAAAAAAATTAACAGATTTAATTCTAAATAACTTTTTTGGTTTTTTCCAGAATTATAAATCCATAAAAGGGAAAAGATTTACCAAATGTTTTTAAAGGAGATGGGCCAACTCTGAAAGAAATTTCAAAGTGAGATTAAACAAAGGCTTTGAAACATTTTTATACCTTCCAGGGTAACTACCAAACTGATTGAGAAATATTCTCTACTCTCAGGATTGCTTAACTGGTCATAAATATTAATCCTAATCATTCTTGAAGTTTTAATGTAGAATTTTCCCAAAGAAGTACAGTTGACTAGGAGGGTTTTGTGGTAGGGCTTGATAAACTTGCAAATACTATGTATGTGATAAGCTCTGTGCCAAGTATCCAATTAACAGTGGTGACATAAAGATGAGTAAAATGGTCTCTGACTTTGAGGCCCTGTAGTCTACCAGGGAAGGACCTAGAGAGGAGGAAGAATGGGTATATGTAGAGAGAAGAAAATCAGCTACATTTCTGCCTGAAGAGTGAGATTTTGACTATAAT